GTAGGCTGCTTTTACTCACGTGCGAGGGTAAACAAAAGTTAAAGACTAAAAATAGTTTAAAACTTTTGTTTATCAGCTACCAGATTTTTACACCAGATTTGTCGTTGAGATCATGTTTTCTTAATGAAGGATGTTTCGTTTAGAATTTAACTACAATGAAAATGTGATTGCGTTTGTACTGTTCATGTTCATACTGCATTTAATCAATTAATTCGTTTGTAAGACGTTACATTCAAGATACTAGGCAATACACCAAACAAAAGATATAAAGATAATGATTCTACGACCGAAAAACAACGTTTTATTTAGTTTGATGGTCGGGTTGTTTGTGGAGATCAAGATGTTTATTTCTCATGCATGTTTACTTACGGGTTTTCACCAAGACTAACTTCTAGTCTCTGAAATGAACATAATTTACAGATAAAAACAGTTGTTCAATTTTAGGTATGAAATAATATATGAAGGAGACCAGAGACTCTCTTCATGAAACTGCAGTAATCTAGACTTACCATTGGCTATATTGAAAACGCAGTAACGTACACATCCGCTTAACATGAAACATGTTAATTGTGAATGTTGACTGTCGTTTTACAACTGGCGCACCCATCGTCTGTCTCTTACACAGAAAAATCCGGGTAGGAATTTATTTCCACCAAACCCATAGTTAGCGTGAAAGTTGACTAACGGGATCGGGTGGTCAGGCTCGTACTTGGTTGATGCATGTCGTCGTATCCCAATTGCGTAGATCGATGCTCATGATGTCAATCACTGGAATATCTGGTCCAGACTCTATAATTTACATGCTTATTCATAAGCGTGTCATCGAACCCAAACGTCATGGATCGTTTGGTCACGATATCGATCACTGGATTGTCTGGTCGAGGATCGCTTACTTACAGGCCGCCGTCAGATGGATGTTGTTGTATGTGGCGTTAAACAAACAAAAAAATAAACAGAATGAGTCGCCTGTTCAAGATGTTGTGTGAAGTCCTGCTTCCATGCGTAACCTGTACGTCTGGTGTACGCCCTTCCAAACGCGTCGGCATTTGACATTAAATGTCTACCGCGCCTATTTCATACAAAACGAGCAGGGAAAGTGTCCTCTTGGTATACATTTGCTGTGAGGGCCCCCGCGGGCATGACATGTTTGCGCGTCTAATCCATTCTTCAAACAACCGCAGACTCAAGCAGAGACCTTTTCCTTTGTTCACTCTGAATTGTCGAATATATCCTGAAAGTACAAGTTGTTGGTACTTTCAAATCGGCTATAGAAGAAAGTGTACTTTGTGGGTGTGGATATAAAGGCATGGTGAATGTTTCATAGAACGCAGCAGTAACTAAGTTGCCGTTGGTAAACAGATAAAAAACGGGTTAACGCTTTACCCGTTATGTGCACTATAGACGTTATGTACACATTTGAAGCTTTGAGTAGTACCCGTTATGTGCACTATAGGCGTTATGTACGCTATACACGTTATGTGCACTATAGACGTTATGTGCACTATACCCGTTATATACGCTTTACCCGTTATGTGCGCTAAACACGTTATGTACGCTATACCCGTTATGTACGCTATACACGTTATGTACACTATACATGCTATGTGGGCAATACACGTTATGTACGCTATACACGTTATGTACGCTATACACGTTATGTACGCTATACCCGTTATGTACGCTATACACGCTATGTACGCTATACATGTTGTGTACGCTATACACATTCTGAACGCTATACAGGTTGTGTACGCTATACCTTTATGTGCACTATACACGTTATGTACGCTATACACGTTGTGTACGCTATACACGTTGTGTACGCTATACACGTTATGTACGCTCTACCCGTTATGTGCGCTATACACGTTATGTACGCTATACAGGTTGTGTACGCTATACACGTTATGTACGCTATACACGTTGTGTACGCTATACACGTTATGAACGCTATACAGGTTGTGTACGCTATACACGCTATGTACGCTATACACGTTGTGTACGCTATACACGTTATGTACGCTATACAGGTAGTGTTCGCTATACATTGTTATGTACGCTATACACGTTATCTACGCTATACACGTTATCTACGCTATACCCGTTATGTATGCTATACACGTTTCGACGCTATACAAGTTATGTACGCTATACATGTTATGTACGCTATACTCGTTATGTACGCTATAAACGTTTTGTACGCTACACACGTTATGTACGCTGTAAACGTTATGTACACAATACACGTTATGTACGCTATACACGTTATTTAAGCTATACAGGTTGTGTACGCTATACACGTTATGAACGCTATACACGTTGTGTACGCTATACACGTTATATACGCTATACACGTTATGTACGCTATACACGTTATGTACGCTATACACGTTTTGTACGCTATACACGTTGTGTACGCTATACCTTTATGTGCACTATACACGTTATGTACGCTATCCCCGTTATGTACGCTATACACGTTGTATACGCTGTATACGTTATGTACGCTATACACGTTGTGTACGCTATACTCGATGTGTACGCTATATACGTTATGTACACTATACATGTTGTGTACGCTATACACGTTATGTATGCTATACAGTTTATGTACGCTATACAGTTTATGTACGCTATACACGTTGTGTACGCTATACACGTTATGTTCGCTATACACGTTATGTACGCTTTACCCGTTATGTACGCTTTAAACGTTATGTACGCTATACACGTTATGTACGCTATACACGTTATGTACGCTATACACATTATGTTCGCTATATACGTTATGTTCGCTATATACGTTACGTACGCTATACACGGTATGTACGCTATACACATTATGTTCGCTATATACGTTATGTTCGCTATATACGTTATGTTCGCTATATACGTTATGTTCGCTTTACACATTATGTACGCTATACAGGTTATGTACGCTATACACGTTATGTACGCTATACACGTTGTGTACGCTATACAAGTTATGGACGCTATACATGTTATGTACGCTATACACGTTATGTACGCTATAAACGTTATGTATGCTATAAACGTTATGTACGCTGCACACCTTACGTACGCTGTAAACGTTATGTACACAATACACGTTATGTACGCTATAAACGTTATGTACACAATACACGTTATGTACGCTGTAAACGTTATGTACACAATACACGTTATGTACGCTGTAAACGTTATGTACACAATACACGTTATGTACGCTATAAACGTTATGTACGCTGCACACGTTATGTACGCTGTAAACGTTATGTACGCTATACACTTTATGCTCACTATTCTGCCACCGTATAGCTCTATTAACGCGACAAGGTTTTGCTGTTTTCTACATGATTGACCAGATGTGTTTCTTTCATCATTGATTTTATTGATAGCTATTTGAAAGTTTTATACAGATTCATGTTATTTTTCTTCAATCTACGATTTCGAATTGCTGGATCATATCAGATCTCTTTAACTCTGATAAGATCAGATTGATATATATATTACCTGTGGTATCACAATCGTCTAAGACGCCTCAATACGCTGTAACATTTGTCCAGGTGCCAATATTCCCTCGGATGATAAACGGGAGCATTGTATGTGGCATGTTTGGACAGTATATCAAACATCTAACTGATATAAAAATACAGAATCTCACCCGAGTGTCAAATATGTCAACATGAGTTGATAAAAGTGGAAAAACTCCGAGGCTTCGGGTGAAATTTTATTTATCATCCAACATTATTCTTCCTACTTTTTTTGTAGACAGTAATAAGCAGAGTCTTAAGTGTAAAAAGTACTGCTGACAGCTTCAGTAGCAGAGCCATTTGTGATGTCGTTTAATTGTGACGTCATGTAACCGATGACGTCACATGTAACCAATTACGTCCAATATCTACAGTGTAGATATATAGAATACTAAACGAGCTCCCGTGTAATACCAATTTTATGAAACGAGTGAATAGTTGTGGTATCTGACTCGCTTTCGCTCGTCAGATACCACAACTATTCACGAGTCAGCCTAGCAACAAAGTTGCTTGGGTCATCGAGTGTGCATAAGCTCCTCTCAGTGATCTATCATCTCCACACGCATTGTCGTTGAATAAGCCAAGGGATGTTGAGAGCTTTCCATATTTGTTCGTGAAACGTGTTCCGAGAGTACAAAAGCACGCGTTTTGGTTTTCTCTTCACGGGCAAGTAATAAATAGTTTGATCTCACCCAAGCGATTTCTCCTTTAAGAGCCAGTTTTGTATGATTAATACATTTGTTCACCTTCCTCAATGCAACCACACAGCTTAAAACTACTTCTCTTCCTTGTTCATTGACGCATTGAAGCCTTTGAAGAAACATTCTACCTTAATGCAATGTGACTTGATTTTAAATATAAAAAATATTGTGTTGCAAAATTTACAATGGCCACAATGTGCTCACTGTTTGACACGAACAATGAGAATTGACTTTTGCCTTGTGTTTTATTAAAGAAATAAACGAGTCGTGGTCATTATTTTTTTATAATAAAACACTGCAGGGAAAATACACCATGAGGGGTGTAGTGTTTTATGGTACGATAAACAACGACCGCCAGTTGTTTATTTCTTATTTGAGATATCAAAATTATGTACATCCTCTTTAAGGATGGCGATAAAATAAACAAGCTTTAAAAATATAAACCCGTATTTTAATAATGGTGACTCCCTCAGTAGAATCCGACCTCGGCAATGTCGAACAAGGCCATTTTATGCAAAGGTGGGTACTTCCCCGAATATTCTCAAAATCCTCACGGCAATTATCTGTACCTTTTCGTCCAATGCCTATTGTCATATGATATCTCTCATGCTTTTGGATGCGATCGTTCGGCCATCCTCCATCACTCACTCACCATCTGACTCACTCACAAGTCACCCCTCTGAAAAATGATGTCGTCCAATAAACGACGTCATCAAGTTGCGAGCGCATGTTCGAATCTCCAGAAACAACGTCATGATAGAAAATT